AGTATTCCAACTTACATAGGTCGACAGGAAATATTCACTCTTCCATATAGCACCTCATCCCAACTCTTATGTTTAAGAGAACTGAATGTTTTCGACTGCTTGTTTATTGTTAAATATCTTGATGTTCGCAAGAAAACCCCTCTTTACTAAGTTCTTTTTTAGGTTTAAAGATCTCTTCATGAAATGCAGGCATTCAGCAAATACACACAGATATAAAGCAAACGGCAAAAATAAAGTTATACATGTATCACTCTACATTAAATGAGGGTTTGATTGCAAAACATCTAAATTGCAAACATTTACTTTATAATTGTTCATGTAGTTTTTGTATTTTTATCGTGTGAATGTTTTTAGATTAAAATGACAAATTATATTCATTATATTTGACGAGAATTGCATCTTATACCCAATTCTTGAATTTGTGCACTGGCTATTTTCATTTTTTGTATTTCACAGAATTTTGGGATTGGCATATGTAAAGAACTGCGAACGATAGTATTGTTCTCCCGCCTACCTCCAAGTCAATTTTCAAAAGTTAACATATTCGATGAATTTTTAATATTTTTTATAGATAATTATATGGATTTTCATTAAACATTACTTATTTGGGAAAACAAAGAGAGATAAAATTTTGGAAAAACTTCTGTTTTTCACTATAGAAATCAATGAAAAACGGAAAATATTTTTAAAACATCCCCCCCCCGTGTCACAAAAATTCTATTTTACAGGTAATCTGGAATGGTATTTCACAATTCATACCAGAGCTTTTTGTGTGACACGGGGGAAACATATGTTTATTGACAAAAACGATAAAAATGCTTATTTTCCACCAATTTAAAAGCGATATACAACTGAAACATTATATCTTATTGAAATATTTATGTTTTGTTATTTGCCTAAAACATAAGAAACAATAAAAGGAACACTTAATCATATCCAAGACTATTTCAAAATACAATGATGCTTGAAACTCTGAGATTTCAATGGGAAATATCGTCTACAAGAGCTGGAATTATGGATAATTTACTGTGTAGCGCTGGTATTAAGACTATTTGTCAATTACCATTGAACTATTAGTTGTATTAAACAAAGATTTTATGACCAAATTGCTATTCATATTGAATTAATTGGTTCCAAAATGTAGGCGGGAATCGAGAGTTAGCGAGCATGTTTCTTACAAGATCCTTTGGAGGAATGCAGCACAATCAGACAGAATTCTATTCGCAGACAACTCGGAGTCTTTTCAACTTCAGTGTGTCTCTTAATAGGAACCCCCTGTATAGTGATCAACAAATTTGTCTTTATTATCCTGGTAACAAATAGAACCTTAAGAATAAATACTTATCACTTTCTGGTTTTAATGTTATCCCTGTGTGATTTTATTGTTGGTCTTGGATACATTTCATATGTCATCCAAATTAATGTTTCGAGAGAGGGCAGATTTTCCATAGCTATGTGTATAATTAAAACAGTTTCTATTATAAATGGTACCTTATTATCTCTACTTCAGACATTTCTCATTTCTTTACAAAGATACTTGGTTATATGCCGTGCTTCTTGGAGTGATCGTTTGTTTCGGAACTCTAGGAAATATATTGTTTGCTTTTCTTGTTGGTTAATGATAATAATTTTCACGTTTGGTTTGATCTCTCCTGGAGAGTTTCCATTGTCACCTTGTGAAATTCAAGGCATCTACGGGGGGCATTTTCTAATTTTTCTGAATTTCAGCAGGGCAATTGTAACCTTACTTATTTTGACAGTTGGGTTGTATTGTGTGACTCTCCATTATGTTATCAAAAGAAAAGTAGAAACTACATGTAAATCTTTGAACAATCAGTACAAGACTGGTGATAAATGTTCAACTAGCTATTGCAGAGAAGACAAGGACAATCCTTCAATGAATTGTAGCAAAAGAGATGAAGATATAAAGGAAGATATTAAACAAGTTTCAGCTAAACCAAGCCAATATACATCCAAGGATGGACTGCAGCAACCTCATGGCTCAAATAACAAAGTTGTCACTAAGCCTGATGCACCCCCACTAGTTATCAAAAGCTGGAAGAATTGAAGAGGAAGACAATTTTGAGCACTGTGGTATTGTTAGGTATCCTTTTGTGTTGCTTAATTATCTTATCTGTCCCATTAATTATCTCCTTCATTATTTTTGATCAAGTATCCCATCTTTATCTTTTCATCGCAGGTTGTTTATGTGGAATTAATTCTATAATAAATCCTGTCAGATATTGCTTGAAAATTGAAAGTGTGCGTTCCGTTGTGAAAGACGCTCTTTGTCATTGAAATAAAAAAATGTCTGTCCTTTGATTTGAATTAAAAAGAATATTTTTAACAATATTTCTTCTCATTATATTTTGTTGAGATGGATCGTTTCGTACGATATAATATAAATACGATGGAAGACGATGATTATGATTCAGTAGCAGGATCGATATTATACATATATCACATGGCTTCGAGGGTGACATACCAGAATATTTGCCCCGAGATGACAGGAAAGCCCCCGGAGTGTTATGTCACTCGATGCTGAAGGCAGAGGGTGATATCACACTCCAGGGCTTTCCTGTCACCGAGGGGCAAATATTCTGGTATAGTCGCCCGAGAAGCCATGTGGTATATGTTATATGCCATTTTTAAAATTAAAAAAATTAAATCATTTAAAATCGTTGAAATTTTCACAAATAATCCAGAAATGCTTTCTTCACGTCAAGAATAACGCTCCGTTGTTTACATTTGCTTAGCAACCGACGTCATAACATCTCGAACCCAAGGAAAAATGCACAGCGTAAAAACACGCGAAAGTTATCGAAATAGTGACATAACTGTTTCCGGCGAGGGTTTACATAACTGTTTCCGGCCGGACATAACTGTTTCCGGTGTGACTCGGCATTTTTCAGGGTTTATAGCGAAACTTATTACATTTGTGATATAATAGGATAACTTATTCAAAAATGTTTTATACACTTATATTGTTTACAATGAAATATATGAAGTCAAGTTCAAAAAATATGGAAATATATTCGAATTCGTGTATGTCTCATATAAGGTCTCTAATGAGACGATAGAAAGGCATTCTGATTCCAAAGGATATTCACAAGTTAAGTATTGCTTGGTTAAGCCTTTTTGACACCGGCGTTTTTGACACTAGATTGATAAAAAAAATGTTCCAGATGTTGGTAAATTCCTGGCCTATATCTCGGAAATCACATGCTGTTTCTTTTAAAGGACTGACTTTCTTTCCTTTTCAATCCATATGTGAAGGGACTTAATTTTAGACCTATACTCGGCTCTCAGGGCCATTGAGCATTAAAAGTTCTTTATCGTGCCAGTGCCTACCGTAACACAGGACCTATGTTTTAAGATCATATCCTAAAAACTCCTGACTCTAACTTCTATTGCCGAGCGCTTGACGAAGGAACCGTCACTACCTACATGTATGTTTGTGTCTTCGGTTTGACGCGGCGACGCGAACGAGATTCGAACCCAGGCCTCCCGATCAGTCAGGGCAAGAAATCGACATTCTGCTGGATGAGAAAGAATCTGAAAGCCTGGCAATATGCGTCTGATGTTATCTTGTTGCTACGTATTGGAATTTTATTGTGCCTCATAAAAATAATGCAGACATACACTAAGACGTAATGCGACGTCCAGTACTGTTTCAAAGTCAGAGACATGGAAGGTTCTTATTGTATGACTGGGTCAATGTTCTGTTTACTGCGTAATTGAAATTTCTTCTGGACAACTTTGGCTTTCACTAGAGAGTTTATCTTAAAGATGGAAAGTTGTCTTCGGACGCTAATCATTATTGCAGAACAATTCAAAGTTTGCAAGAGCCCTGTTTGGTCACTAAAGAGACATTTACAATAGTTTTACAACACTTATTTTGGCAAAGATATTTCATTTTCTTTTTATTGGGAGGGGGGGGGGGGTATTGTGCAATTTGTCATTTAAGATCCGTAAGGTTAACACTTGAAAAAATCTCTGGAGTAAAATCAACTTATTAAAGGAAGTCTTGCCATCATGATATTTTTTTAGTAGATGTATTTCAAATAAAAATTTAAAATACAAACCAGAAAAAAAAACACAAACTTTGTTTGAAAATCATGAACAATTATTAAATCAAAAAATAAGACGTTAAGTAGGAAAAGCATTTCCTAATCGATTTTTTAAAGCAAATATACCGGGTATGCTGAAACACAAAAGAAACGCAACAAGCAGTAATCAACAAACATTCGTACTTTTTATCTAATGATTTTCAAAAATGAAAACAGAAAGAATAAACTCACTTTCCATAACAAGAAATTTGATGGAAATGTTAAATGGATATCTTTTAACTTTACATAGTACCATATGACTGTAAAATTATCCCCTAGCAGACATTCAATTATTTGCTCTGCTCTTATTTTGTATATTGTTTAATGGACATTGAGATTGAATACTGTTCGTTATCTCCATATCCTTCTTACAGAACAATTGCAGCTCAATTTTTATGATGCGATATGTTTATCAACATTGATATCTGAGCGAAGGAAATGTTTTTTGCCATTTTAAATGCCTGGTTTTTTTTTTTAGATGATATTAGGTCGAATTTTTGAAACCTAGCCTAGTGTAGAAACACTTAGACTTCCGGTCAACGGACTGTCATTAATGCATATCATACTTAAGAGCCTGTTGAGGCGATATGTAGTGAATTTTTGCATAAGTAACTCACCTTCATTTTCAGATTTTCCCGCTAAAGCAATGGAAATGCGTACTTAAGTCATTTTCAGGAAGACTTAGCATTGCTACGGGAAACGAAAGGAGAATTTATTTTTCGAATATTGCTGCAATACTTATGATGAACACTTTCAAACTCTTAAAACACCGTAATATTGCCAAATTTTTTGTTAAACATGCATTATTTAAGTAATTTCTGTTAAGCAGACTCAAACTAAACTTCTAGTAATAACATGACAAACTTTTAACCGTTAAATTACCGATATTTGCAATATTGACGATATCCATAATTTTACATGTAAGATACAAATTCTTCTACTATATATAATTATTACCTATACAACAGGATATTGCTTTTCCTTTGCGTTTCAGCATATCATTAATTTTATAATTTTAGTTTCTTCAATCTTTGTAATCAGGTAGAAATAATATTGAAACATTCTGGGCATACTGAAAAAAACGTTTCTCCCAGCATTAGAAATCAAAGCTGAGATGACATTAAAATTTCTTGTGGGGCCATTATTTGCATATCACATTAATATCTGTGTATGGGTCGTGGTTTTTTAGTCGGAGGAAGAGGCCGAATCTTCTTGTCCCAACGTTTGAATCGTTTTCTTCTTTTCTTCTTCTCGTCCGACCAACGCTTCCAGAAGAAGAAACAGCAGATTGCAGTTGTGGCCAGTACGGACAGAGCGAGGGCGACCCCCACCATTGTGGGGATTATACCTGCAAAAGGTACAACAAACTTTAGAAATTGTAAGTGGGGTCATGTTGCAATACTAGTTGCAATACTAGTAAGTGCTAATTTATAAGAAAATGTATAAAAATTAAAAAAAAAAAAAAAAAAAAAAAAAAAAAAAAAAAAGGGGGGGGGGGAAGCATAAAAATAGTGTACCATACATGAACTGTGAATTAAGAAGGGCTATTTATAAAAAGCAAATGTTGAAAAACAAGTTTGACAAGTGTAAGACAGATGAGAATTGGGAAGAGTTTAGGAAACAGAGGAATTATGTTACAAAACTAAAAAGGGTATCAATAAGAAACTATTTTCAAGAAAGATGTGTAGGGGGACAAAAAAGTTCAGATTTTTGGAAAACAATTAAACCATTCTTATCGAAAAAATCAAAGTCCACAGAAAATACAATTCTTTTATGTGAAAATGACAAGATTTTAAATAACCCAATAGAAACTTGCAACACTTTTAATGAATTTTATGCTAATGTGGCTAGTGAAATAGGGAAAGATGTAGTTTTTAATGAAAAAGATCATTGTAGTCTAAATGCCATCAGGGAAAATTTTGCTTTTACTGAGACATTTGATTTTAAGAAAACTAATGAAGAAGAAGTGACCAAGCTAATAAACAAACTAAATGTTAATAAATCTACTGGTGTAGATACAATATCAGCTAAACTTCTGAAATTTGGAGCACCTGTTCTGAGTAAACATATTTCTATTCTTGTTAACCAATCCATACAAAAGGATACTTTTCCTGATAGACTGAAACAAGCTCAGGTCATTCCTTTATACAAAAAAGAAGACCCTCTGTTAAAAAGTAATCATAGACCTGTTAGTATTTTACCAACCGTGTCAAAGGTTTTTGAAAAGGTTTTATGTGTACAACTTTCTGACTATTTTGATGGCATTTTTAACAACGCACTTTGTGCATTTAGAAAAGGTCATGGATGCCAAACTACACTACTGCGACTCCTTGAAGACTGGAAAATGGCTTTAGATCAGAACTTACATGTCGCTGCTATTTTAATGGACCTTTCTAAGGCTTTTGATTGTTTGCCTCATGACATACTGTTAAGTGAACTCTCTGCTTATGGTTTATCTCCAAATTCTGTCTCCATTCTAGGAAGCTATTTGTCTGAGCGCTTTCAGCAAGTGAAACTTCAGGGAGTTGTCAGTAATTGGGTTGGTATTAAAAAGGGAGTACCACAAGGTTCCATCCTAGGACCACTACTCTTCAATGTTTTTATCAATGACATTTTTTATTTCATTAAGAATGGGTCTTTATATAATTATGCAGATGATAATACTTTAGCATACTGGCATAAGGATTTTGACACTCTGATAAATACTTTACAAGATGAAATTTCTGTATTATTGAAATGGTTTAAAGAAAACTGTATGCAAGCCAATCCATCTAAATTTCAGACAGTTGCCTTGGGTAAGAAAACTTTTGATAAGAACCCTGTATTTAAAATTGATGGTGCCGAGATTTTGTGTAATGAGACTGTCAAATTATTGGGAATTGATATTGATTTTATGCTCAAATTTGATGTCCATATTAGTAATATCTGTATAAAAGCTGCCCAACAATTAAATGTGTTAAAACGCATTGGCTCAGTATTAACTAGGGCAAACAAAATTACAATATTTTATAGTTTTATTTTGTCAAATTTTAATTTCTGTCCTCTTGTATGGCACTTCTGCTCCAAGAAAAATACTAGAAAAATTGAGAAAATTCAAGAAAGAGCTTTACGTTTTATTTATGAAGATTTGGAGAGTAGCTACGAGTCATTACTACTTAAGGCAAAATTACCATCATTAGAGATTAGAAGAATGCGTAGCATGGCTCTGGAATGCTTTAAGATTTTACATGACCTTTCTCCTAGATGTCTGTCAGACTTAGTGAGTTTTAAGAAAGTGACATACAATTTTAGATATTCAAACATTTTAGAAATACCAAAAGTGAGAACTACATCATATGGCAAAATGTCTTTTAGATATGCAGCACCAGTTTTATGGAACTCCTTACCTGAACATTTTAAATGTCAAACCAATTTTTTACAGTTTAAATCTATGATTGCCTCTTGGAGCGGTAAGGACTGTGAGTGTACAGCCTGCTCCACTAGGTAAGTTGTGTCCTTTTGTTTGTGTGTCTGTGCATGTGTGTCAGTTTTTCTTTTCTTATTTTTTCCTGTGATGTTCTTTTTATGTTTCTGTCGATGTACTGTTCGCATGTTTGTAATGTTGTGACTTGTATATCTTGTTGCTTTCTCTATGCATCTGTGCTGTATTGTTTATGTGTCTGTACATGTGTGTTTTATATGTATCTTTACCTGATGATGTCCTTTAAATTAGACTGTGTGCTGTACTGTTGCAAGTAATTCTATGTTTATATAGTGCTGCATGATTTCATTGTTTTTCTGTTATGTATATGTTAAACATGTCAGTCAAAAGCTCATTAGAGCTTGTGTTATTTTTTTAACTACCATACTGACTTTAAATAAATAAAGCTTATCTTATATTAATAAAAAATAAATTTTTCGATAAATTGTGAATGTAATAAACACTTCAATTCGAGGGGGAAAATGCGAACAAAAGATAACTTACCAAAAGGCCAGATTTTACTAATGTTGTCCACTGAATATGGAAAAAAAGAAAAGTAGGATTTTTTTATTCCTCTTTTCAAGAGACAAAAATTTATTTGATATATTTCAAAATCAGAAATGATAATGTACAAAACAAAAGAAATAGGAGGAATTCTTAAAATTTAAAGATAAATCAATCTAAAGGTTTTCAAAGTTATTTAAGAAATTATATGAATTCCTCTCTTTTCTTTAGTAAGGGTTTTCAACGATTTGGATATTGTACTTTCTGCACCTACCTTTTCGTCTGTTTTCTTCATCATATTTTCGGGTGGTAGAGCTTTGATGATTCTGATTCTGTATATTGATGGGAGACCCAGGCACAAATTTGTGTGTGTTGCTATTTGTGAGGTTTGTCAGCGTTTTCTGCGAAAGCGTGGGATTTCCAGGAATATTTGTTAGTTTTGATGTACCAAACATGTTTTGAGTAATTTTATTATTTGATCCAATGATCCCAACGAAAGAATGCGATGTCGTTTGAGGGAGATGGTATTGTTTATTTGTATTTTGGCCCCCATTGGTTTTTCTCGTTGTTTGTTGGTTACTGTTAATGTTATTGTTTGTAACATTATGTTGTCCTGTTCCATTGAAACCTTGTGTCCTGCCATTCAGTGCATAGTAAGTAGTGGTAAGGCCTCCCATTTTACCTGTTAAACCGTTGTTTGTTGTTTTATAAAGGTATCCGTTGTTAGACTTTGATACCACATGAGCATTTGTAGTCAGGACATGGTTACCAGCACTAGCTGTATTACGGCTTCCAGAGTTGGTCATCACTTAAAAGTAAAGAAAAAAACTCTATATTACAGCCAATTCAGTGTTAGACTATCATCAGATTCCTTATGGGTCTCGGTTTTTTTTTTCTTTTAAATGATTAAGAAAAACAAAAATACATGGTTACTGAACGTTGCATTGAAGAATACATCCTTTTAAAACATAAGTGTGCTAACCTTTATTGCAATACTTTCCGGTGAATCCTGGACTGCAGACACAGAATACCGTTGTAGAAGTCTGGAAACACTTGCCGTGACCACAGGAGAAAGTTTTACACAAATCCGCGGGATGGCCGACAGATGGAGTTCCTATTCCTGACGAACTTCCTGCTGTAGTGACTTTTCCCGATGAACTTCCTGCTGAAGTGACTTTTCCCAATGAACCTCCTGCTGTAGTGACTTTTCCAAATGACCCTCCTGCTGTAGTGACTTTTCCCAATGACCCTCCTGCTGTAGTGACTTTACCTGCGGAACTCTGTGATGTCATGCTGGCTTTACTTGAAGAACTTCCCGCTGTAGAGGTTACTTTTACAACAGGTAAGCCTGATTACATTGAAAATGTGACTTTTAATGAAATGTTAAAAGAAATGAAATGAGATGAAAAAGTATGCAAAGAAAAGGAATTAAACATATATATATATGCTGTCCTTTTCAAATAAAAAATATTTTTTGAAAATTTCATTTTTAAAATGCTTACAACTTTATTAATTTACGTTCTGTTTATCCAAATACTGATGAATTTGTAATTCTAAAATATTTTTAAAGTTTAAAAATTAATATGTAAATGTTTAACAGGTAGACTTTGATATTGAAAAACACATTATTTAAGCATATATAGATTATTATTTCTATTCCCTTACGATTATCACATTTCTCTCCACTGAACCCTGCATCACAAGTACAGGAGAATCCACGCGGTGTATCCCGGCATGCACCGTGCTGACAGGGACGACTACCACAGTTTACCACTATAAACAATGCAATACAAAGTATCTAGTTACTTTTAGATAAATCTTTAAATAAATGACATCTTCAGTTGCTATATTGAGAACAATTCATTTCTGTGGATGAAAAAAATCAGAACATGTCATTCTTAGAGATATATTTTTAAATATATAGCAGAGAATACATTTGTAATAATTGTAAAAAGCTAAATAATTGCTTTACTTATTTCACAGAGAGTTCCTGAGTACGTTACGGGACACACACAAGTAAAACCATTGGGTACATCTTGACAAATTCCATGGCGGCAGGGTGTATTCCTGCATGTTATGACTAAAAAGCAAAACAAAAGAAAATAAACATTAGGTCGGTTAAATTTTACATGTTGTTTACATGGACGCGCAGCTTTTCCCTGAAAAGCATGGTCACAGGTGCAAATAAATAAACGCTATTGATAATTAGATCCACATATGTTCCCATTTTTCTCAGATTTCTTTTTATTTCATTTGTTCCTCCAATTCGCTTGCTTCAATTTATTACAAACAATTAAAAGTACATGACAAAGAAAATTTAAACTTCTACAGTGAATGTTTATTCATCAATGTTTTTTTTTTCTTTTCTTTCAAAATTATATGAAAAAAAATATAATATGTTTTACGGTATGACCGTTGAGGCGAGCGCAGTTATGTACTGTCATAAACCTACACATGAACTGCCTATCATTCAAGAAAAAAAGAAAGAAAACAAAATAATAAAAAGAAATCACTTCCCAAACATCGGGATCGAGATTCCGAAGTTCTCGGAAGTTTCCGACAAAATCGGAAATACCCGAACCGTTAAAGTGACGAAAGTATGACTTCAGTCTGATAAAAAGTCCTGTAGACTTTGGACGCAAACGATGGTTTTATGGCATGGAAATTGCAATAAATCGTTGTTTGTATTTTTTTCAAGTAAGTTGTTGCTATGTTTTAGCCAGCTTGTTGCTATGCACCGCAAAGGATTACTGGGAGTTTGGAATTTTTTCACGCGATGAGATAAAAATTTCTTGGAACAATGTGTAGATTTCAACCCGAATTTCCTCCGTTCGTACACGTTAGTCTATTGAGCTCGCTACGCGATCGGCGCTTCGCGCCGCCTCGCTGCGCTCGGTATTAGTTTTAAATATTTGGTCACTAAATTTAATTAGATTTTTCTTATGTGGTTTAAGACTTGTGCTTATAACATATCTACATCTTACCCGTATCACACGTGATTCCTGTGTAAGTGGGAGGACACACGCATCTAAATCCAGTCCGGGTATTTATACAAGATCCGTGTCTGCAGGGACTATCACTACAGGTCAAAGCTGTTAAATACAATGGATTTAAACTGCATATTCATACGTTCATCAGGGATAGAAAACAATAAAATGTCAATAGGTCACACGGCTCACCTACATCCCCTCTGTTCTGCTTGATTTTTTATACCCCCCGCTTGAACAGTGGGAGGGTATAGAGTAATCGATATTTCTGTCCGTCCGTCTGTACGTCCATCCGTCCGTCTGTTACGCTTTATCTCTTATCCGCAACTCCTCTTATACTACTGAGTGAAATTTAATGAAACTTTCACAGAATCTCTATTAATACTGCCATTGTGCACCTCCTATTTTTCTTTTTTATTCGACACGTATTTTAAGTTTCCCATAGCAAAACATGGACATTGTCATTATATGTTTACCTATGACGTCACATATAGAAGCTTCTGGATAACATTTGATAGGACGAGTTATTCCTCTTTACACATTACCGTAAAACAATATATAGCAACACATGGACATTATGGGAGGCGGGGGGTATCATTAAGTGAGCTCATTGCTAACAGTACCTCTAGTTTATTTGGAGGTTAGCCCTTTTAGCTTTTCTAAGACATTCTCATATTTCTACATTTTACCTGATTCACACGTGATTCCTTTGTAGGTGGGAGAACACACACAAGTAAATCCAGTCCGTGTATTTATACAAGATCCATGCCTGCAGGGACTGTCACTACAGGTCATAGCTGTAAAATATAATACACAAAATAAATTTTGTGTTTTCTAGTGTTCAACAGAGATAAAAGTGAACAAAAACAGACCCAATGGTTGTCCGCTTAGCTGCAGAACTTCCATAGCTCTCCGAAAAAAGAGATCTCTCGAAGTAAAAGAGACATCTTTCAAAAGTGTCTAAAAGAGATGTCTCTTAAGAAGAAATAGATATCTTGTTATTGAAAAAATATATCTCTCTTTATTATTTTCATTTAAATTCTACTTGAAATGACTTCTCCCTTTACCGGAAGTAAGCTTTTTATTCATGGAAATACATTAAAGTATTTTTAATTTCGACATATTCATGACATTCTACATTATAGCTTTTCTAAACTTGACAAGTAATTCAGTGTTGTTGAGATTTCAAACTAGTAATAGCGAGCGTCGCGAAGCGAGCTCAATAGACTAACATGTAAGAACAGAGGAAATTCAGAATGAAATCAGTATATACGTCAAGCAAATTTTGTTGTGAAACATTCCCAGATTTCCTTTACTACCCAATATATTGAATATTTAATTGATTTTTGTTGTTGTTGTTTTCCTTCAAATTTCTATTTCAGATTTTTACTAGTGTAGAAATGTCGACAGAAACTGGTGAAAGACCTCAAAATAAGATCTTAACTCTGCTTTCAAGGACTTTGTAAAATCTTACATCTTCCGCAACACGAAACGTCCGTCTTCAGGTCTAATTTAAAAAATCTTAATTTTCACTCCTAATATCATGGGTGTTTGGTCATCAAATGGCGAACACCATAAACTTTGTTCAAGCCTCATTCTTATCACGACCGGTCACGGCAAATAGATGATTACAACTTTGGCCTCTCCATTACAAAGTAATGAAGTGCTACTTACATTTTATACTAAAAATAAAGACATCCACTTAATTTGTAATTTTTCATGATTGTAAGTTTTTTTCTTTGACAGAGGAATGGAACTTTTATCTATATAGATTTCATTCCATAAATTTGCGGATCCCTTTTTTTAAAACATGTTAGGTTGAAATTATATCAGTGGTTTTAGGGAAAATGAAAATTTAAATGTTTAATAGATGGACAGATAGAAAAACAAACAAAGTGACAAACAATGGAATAATAAAATTACTCCTGAAATAGTAGTAAGCTTTGAAATTCTTTTTTGGAATTGTTTTGCATATTTCGAAATCAATTAATCAAATTCAAAACATGCTTAAATTTGGACAGAACAAACGTTTTTATATTCAGATGAGCACAAAGTTAGTGCTTGCTTAAAATTTATTTAGGTTTTTCTTCGACCAGACACAATGCCGGATTTTTCTGTTATTTCCCGATCAAGACAAAGATCACACGGCGGGTATGACCGGTCAGCAGGGGATGCTCATTCCTCCATGGCACCACATCATAACTCTGATGTTTTGGAGGTTCTTCTTTGCTCTTCTCCTGATATTAATTGATTAATAGACCTCTAAGCTTGAATATTGTTTGGGATTTCCATGTTTCATTTAATGGCACCTTTGAGCTTTTTTGTTATCTCCATACACTAAGTATTTCCATTGACGACCCCTTGAAATCTGTTATTTCTTGAAACGGCTATAAAATTATTTTAGCGATATCATAATTTTATATAGAAACTCTAATATTGCATGGTTTACTCCGTGAATGTAATACAAAAATACTGTAGAAGTACTTTTTTCCGCGTGGAATGAGTTTACGCTATGTACACGGTCACAATTACCTCAGGGTTAGGGTGAGGCTTACCTCTGTCACAGTTCTTTCCTGTGTACCCCATGGAACACGTACAATGATATCCCCCTGATCCATCATGACACGCCCCCTTCTGACACGGGTTGTCTGAACATGTGACACCTGTGTGATCAGAGAAAACAATTAAGCAGTCTTTGAAAGACGAAATGTAATGAGTATAGGTTTGAATTTGCAGCCCTCCATCGGCAAAAGGTGGCATCTCAAACTGAGTGAAAAATTCTATAACAAACAATTAAGATAGAAACTAACGGTTATGAATGCATGAATTAAAAGAATAACGTGTATGATTTTTTAACGTTATAGCAGGGTCGATCGTTAAAATGGCAAAAGAAATTTTGAAATACATATTCACCAATATATGAAATTATATTAAAACCATATATATTTACTAGATGCTGTCATGAGACAGTAATACCCGCACTAAGGTGTTTGCCTCTAAATACACAATCCTACGGGCGGCTTACCAAGGAAAAAGTCAAAATAATTCTATATAATTCAGGCACGTAGCATCGTTTTTGAAAGTGGGGGGGGGGGGCCAACCTGAGAAATTTTTTTTTACTTACCTAAAAAAATTAACAAGGAAAAAAAAAATGAAATGGGGGGGGGGGGGGGTAGGGGCCACCTTTTTTTCAAGGCAAAATTACTTTCAGTTCCAATTTTTTCCCCATATTTCCTTGCTATGTATATACTGTGGTAAAAAGTGTGGGGGGGGGGGAGGGGCAACCATCTTTTCAATTGACATTTTCTTATAGTACAGGAGTACAGGTAATGTTGGGAAAAAAAGGGGCAGCCCCCCCCCCCCCCCCCGGTTGCTACGTGCCTGTAATTTATATGTATTCATCAAATTGAGTATGAAATTATCCCTGTGACCTATAACTCAGAACCTCTTATATTTATTTTACATGCTTAATTCATTATATACCACTTTGAATTCTATTAATGATGTAAATTAGATTTTGATAAATGTTGTGCTCATAATAGGACCTTTTTAAATTTACTAATCCCCCCCCCCCCCCCCCCCTCGACACCACAATCACATAGTACATACTTTTTTGAATAAGCTAGATGGAACAGTTTTGTTAAAACATTGTTTGTTATGAATTAATTTAAAATTTGTTCTTGACATGTAAATTCTACATCACATCACGTTGCGTCACCCATTATCATATTTTTAGATTAAACTCCATTCGGTACACCTCGGCCGATTCCCACTTCATCTGATAAGGTGACGGAATCGACGGCACGAAGGTTTTCCGAATGGAATAGCATTATAACATGCTGCAGAATGGTGTGCATTGGATTAATTCATTTTGTGTTTTATAAATTGGATTTATATCTCATGAAGTTTACAAGACCTATGGAGGTCGGTAAGTACAAGTTTAAGTATAGTGGGGGGTAAAATAAACCCAAACGATTAGGTTAAAGTTCAAAAAGGGTCAAAGATCATCGCATGCCACACTAGACGAATTTCATATTGTGAAGTTATCTCTCCTTGTTGATGTGACATTCAGTTACTGCCAATACTGGTGCGGATCCAGAATTTTTTTTCGGGAGTAGGGAGGGGGGTTCACATCTCAGTCAAAAAATTCATGCCTAGAATTTCCTGACAAGCAGGAGAAAAAAAACTCATAAACTGAAAACAAACAAAATAAAAACAATGATAGTGTGGTCAATGTTTTCTAAGTTAGGGGGAGGATGTCCAAAGTCATTTTTTATTTGCTTCAGTATATAGTCTTGTTTAAATAACAAAGGAAATTCCGGGGGGGGGGGTCCAATCTCCCTATCCACTCCCTATCCCTGAAATAACAATCTATTTTGTGATTCCAATTAAATAGTATATTTTTTTCCATTTGACTAATTATGTACATATTTTTTTTCTTGTGTTTATATTATGTCTGTCTATTTGTCTGCAGAAATTATAACCTTGCCCATAAGTTTAAGTGGGATGGGCTATACAAATGGCTTCCACATTTTATAGGTTTATTTCTTGTGACAATTAAGACCTTTTATTTGGGTAACATTAATTTTTACCTTTGATCACTTGACCTAGAATACACATTTTTACAAGAAAAATACCCAACTTTAAACTTGGCCTAAATTTTGATCAGTAGGTGCTAGGGCTTTCATGCTTAACATGTGTATTCATTGTGAACTGTCAACAGGTATAAATATGTTTGACCTTGACCGTAGAGTTTGAACCACTTAAAAAATTATATAACCTTGGCAATTAACTTTTGAACAGGAAGTACTAGGGATTACTTATTTCACATGTGCATTCCTTGTGACAAGACTTTTTTCTGATACCAACAATTTGAACCCTTTGACCTTGACTTTTGAATTTGACATATATTTGAGAAACTTCAACCTTCACCATAGGCTTCCATACATGGACATCAGTGTTTCACAAACACATCTTGTCTTCATTATTATTTGGTGGTGTCTCCATATGAGGGAAAAATTCCCGAGAGAGATGTATTCACAACAAACAAACAAATTACTAAAGAAATTATAAAAGATGAATATGTTGGTCATGCATATCTCTGCATGAAAAAAACAGCTTTTCAAATACTGCAACCATATTGTAACCCTTTCAAAACACTCATTTGAGCTTTTCTGGTTTCCTTATCATATAACGTCTGTCGTGACATGTCGTCCATCTGTTTGTCTGAAAACTTTTTACATTTTTAACTTCTCTAGAACCACTGGTCCAATTTTACCCATGCAATTCATATAGAAATATGTCCATTTGTATGTCAGACTGTCCTTCTGTCTGAATAAAATTAACCTTGGTCATCACGGTCATATCTACTGAATGAGAAGAGACAAGGCATTCATATTAAACTTATGTACTAGTATTTACCTGTGAGAATGGCATGGTTTTTTTTTTACATATGACCTAGAAGTTTGACCTACTTGCAAAAAAATTAAATTGTTATAAATTCATCATTTTGAAAGAGAAAAGTTAGGGCATTCATATTATAATGCAAGTATATTATTACCTATGATAAGATCTTTCCAAATGAATCATGACTTTTACTCTGTGACCTTGACCTTGAAGCCTAACCTACTTTTCAAAAATGTTGCATTTGCTTATAACTTTTGATTGAGATGAGATATGACTCTCACATTTGACATGTACATTAATTACTCATAAAAATTCAAGGTGTTTCCCAGCATGTGATGTTTTTTTACTCTTTAACGTTGATGTTTTACATAATTTTCAAAATATTTAACTCTCCTAAAAGATGATTAGGCTTCTGAGTAACATTAAGGAGGACTTCAGGAAAGACAGGACTTTTTGCACAAAAAACGTCATTTTTCCACCCCCATTTGACCCCCCGGGGAAAAAATCAAAATTACGAAAACTTACTGCACATCTACATGACACCACCAACCATCTCCCAAAAGATGATTAGGCTACTGTGTAAAATGTAGGAGAATTTCAGGGAAGACGGGGCTTTTTGCATAAAAACGTCATTTTTTGACCCCTATTTGACCCCCTGGGGCAAAATCAAAATTCCGAAACCTTACTGCACATCTACATGACCCCACCAACCATCTCCCAAAAGATGATTAGGCTCCTGAGTAAAATGTAAGAGGAGTTCAGGGAAGACGGGGCTTTTTGCATAAAAAAACATCATTTTTCGACCCCCATTTGACCCCCTGGGGCAAAATCAAAATTCCGAAACCTTACTGCACATCTACATGACACCACCAATCATCCCCCAAAAGGTGATTAGGCTGCTGAGTAAAATGTAGAAGGAGTTCAGGGAAGACGGGACTTTTTGCATAAAAAACGTCATTTTTCGACCCCCATTTGACCCCCCGGGGCAAAATCAAAATTCCGAAACCTTACTGCACATCTACATGACACCACCAATCATCCCCCAAAAGGTGATTAGGCTGCTGAGTAAAATGTAAAAGGAGTTCAGGGAAGACGGGACTTTTTGCATAAAAAACGTCATTTTTCGACCCCCATTTGACCCCCCGGGGCAAAATCAAAATTCCGAAACCTTACTGCACATCTACATGACACCACCAACCATCTCCCAAAAGATGATTAAGCTACTGTGTAAAATGTAAGAGGAGTTCAGGGAAGAAAAGTGTGACAGACGGACGGACGGACGGACGGACGGACATGAGTAACAACAATATACCCGAACTTTCTTTAGAAAGTGCGGGTATAATAATACATACGGAATGTACAAAGCAAGCCTTTGCAAAGAGATCCAAACTGTTTTCAAGAAGTAGAAATCTGTGTAAATGATACTCATATTCTTTGAGGATAATTTTTTTTAAAAATCTAAATCCTTACGCGTGTTACACGTGGTCCCTTTATATCCGGCATCACAGGTACAGCTGAATCCGTGTGATGTATCCTTACATGAACCATGCTGGCACGGGCGGCTACTGCATGTTATAGCTGACAAAAGACAGCATAATCTTAACATTCAAGGAAAAAATAGGTTGAGATCAATGTTCTTGCTTTTCACCTTTGTTTTTCGCCTTTTGTTAATATAAGTGAACGTTTTATGCAATACTATAACATCAATTCTGATGGTCATTCTATGAATACTTTCGTAAAAAAATTAAAAACAAGCATTTTTTGTTCATTGCGTTTAATGAGATTTATTAGGATCAGCTAAAAGGTGTAGTACCTGTCTCACACAAACGACCAGTGTGCATGGCATCACAAGAACAACGGAATCCAGTGGGCGTGTCAGAACACGTGCCAGTAACACACGGATTGTCCTTACAAACAGCAACTAAAACGTGACAGGAAAAAACATAAGAATGATAAACCAATAAAAACGAACATGTCAAAACCAAGATGTCGATATCTAGCTATATCACTTTGTATATGTATTTTTTTTAATTTTATATTTAAAATACAAATTAATCTACATGCACATAAAAACTGTTAAAGCAATAGGAAAATGTTTAAAGCTCAAATGAATGAGAGAATGAGAATCCAGTCACCTCTTTCACAGTTCTTCCCTGCTGTTCCTGGAGGACACGTACAGCTGTACCCTCCCGATCCCCCGTGACACGTTCCTCTTTTACAAGGATTATCACTGCATGTTGCTCCTGTGTAATGTTAAGGTCAAGATAAAAGCAAAATTACCGATCCCGAAAAATCTATAACTAAAACAAATATGTAAGAGGGGCATAAAAACAGGGATCCCTTGAAATAAAAGAAATGAAATCAGGCACATAGGAGCGGTAAACATCCATTGTTGACAAGTCATATCTCTAAGCCTCCATGCATAAATCATCAACATGATATTGAATTCAACACAGATTTCATTTCTTTTGGATAAATGTGCATTAAATCAACAAATGAGTTTTTTAAACTCAAAACAAAAATACAGTTTATATATTAACGAGAATTTTTTAAATGACTGCACAGCTATATTATTTAAAGTACATGAGTACAATTAGACTGTTTTGACAAATGACCAATGAAAAGGGTAAGTAAACTTATGAGTTCTATTATAATTGAAATGGCAGCGACTGATGATGTCAAAAAAGGCCTGGACAAAACAAAAGAAAATGAGGGTAAGTGAAGGACAAACCATTATTGTACTCTTTACATATGGATGTTTTGTAAAAACATCTGATTTGCTCAATCAACACACGTGACACACAGAACAGAGGAAACTTTGACTACTGACCTCTGTCACAGTTCTTCCCTGCAAATCCAAGGTCACAGGCACATGTGTATCCTCTTCCCACAGTCTGACAGCGACCGTGGCGACACGGAGCGTCACTGCATGTGATAACTGAAATAAACATAAACTGTAATCACCCGACACGGACCGTCACTACATGTAATAACTAAAATAAACATAAACTGTAATCACCCGACAAAGACCGTCACTACATGTAATAATTAAAATAAACATAAACTGTAATCACCCGACAAAGACCGTCGATCACTACATGTAATAACTAAGATAAACATAAACTGTAATCACCCGACAAAGACCGTCACTATATGTAATACCAGGTAACTAAAATAAACATTAACTGTAATCACCCGACAAAGACCGTCACTATATGTAATAACTAAAATAAACATAAACTGTAATCACCCAACAAAGACCGTCACTACATGTAATAACTGAACATAAGCACGACTGTAATCACCCAAAAAAGACCGTCACTACATGTAATAACTGAAGCATAAGGACGACTGCAATCACCCAACAAAGACCGTCACTACATGTAATAACTAAAATAAACATAAACTGTAATCACCCAACAAAGACCGTCAATACATGTAATAACTAAAATAGCATAAACTGTAATCACCCAATAAACACCGTCAATACATGTAATAACTGAAACATAAGAACGACTTTAATCCCCCAACAAAGACCGTCACTACATGTAATAACTAAAATAAACATTACTCCAGCATGCTAGAGGTTCACGGCGAGATACTTTTGACTTGGCGCCGCGTAACCTCTAGCATCCATTGTAAAAATTCTCGCCGCAGAAACCCCAAGTGGAAAAAATTATTTTATTAAGAAATAAGGCTTTGTATATTAACAAATGATACGAAATAAAAAAAATACTCAATATTTACGATAAAACTTACGCATAAAACACTGTTAACCTCTCGTATTAGCAATAAATCCATTATTTTTTAAATCGAAGCAGAAATTGAAAGAAGTCGTCAGTTTAAAATTCGAAATTGGAATTCAGAAAATCTGACGAAACGAAACCAGTGAATTGCAACGAAAATTTCGTTTTCTGACAAGCAATCCGCAAAATTAATGTGAAGTCAAATTGAAAGTACTTCTGGTGACAAATTGGAATAATGACAATTTTCATTAATTAACAATAATGCACACTGAATTAAATGGATTTTATTATTTCTTGTGATTTTCATACCCCATGCAAACACGTAGGTACCTGAAAATTACTTGTTAACAGTTTATTTCACGCATAATACGTTCCGCCCAAAATCTCAGGCGGAACGTGCTCGTTAGAAAATGGCCTTCGGATGTAAGAGTCCGAGGTATATAAGGAGCGTAGGGACGTTAACCGAGGCTCTTACTTGTAGGAGTAAAATAAACATAAACTGTAATCACCCAACAAAGACCGTCAATACATGTATAACTGAAATATTAGGACTACCAGGTACTGTAATCACCCAACAAAGACCGTCAATACATGTAATAACTAAAATAAACATTAACTGTAATCACCCAACAAAGACTGTCAATACATGTAATAACTGAAGCATAAGGACGACTGTAATCACCCGACAAAGACTGTCACTACATGTAATAACTGAAACATAAGGACAACTGTAATCACCCAACAAAGACCAAGAATGATCAGTATCATACTATGACAAAAAAGTAAATTCAACCGTTAAACTTAAAAATGTCTATTACTTAAACATTGCATATGAAGACAGACAGAAATGATTTTAAAAAAACAATTTTTTTCTAGATATGCATTAAATTGTAAATGAAATGAAAATATATTCTATGAACTACCTCTCTCACAGTTTTTCCCCGTATACCCAGGGTCACAGGTACATCTGTACCCACCACCGACGTCACGACAATGCCCATGCTGACACGGATTATCCCTACAGGTTGCAACTGCAAAATATATACCAATATCTGTAATTAATATAACCAGGAGTTGCCATTGTAGCCCTTTTCCGTCACCGGGTCACGTGATCACTATGGCTTTATAAGTGGAGAATATCCACAGTAAAAAAAAAATCATAAACTTTGGTTATCAGGAACAGAAAAAATAAAATGCTTCCAATTTCAAAATATTTAAAAACATCCGATAAGTCTTTAAAAGCAAACCTCTTTCGCAGTTTTTCCCAGCATAACCTGGATCGCAGGTACACGTATATCCACCTGTGACGTCACGGCAACGTCCATGTTGACATGGGTTATCACTACACGTGGAAACTAAAAGAAATTCTTGACAAATGTCATAAATGATCAATGAAATTCTACCGGTCACGGTAGCCTAGTGGTAGAGCGTTCGCTTGGTGATCGGGAGGCCCGGGTTCGATTCTCGTTCGCGGCGTCGCGTCAAACTTAAGACGTAAACATAGATAATGACTGTTCCTTCGCCAAGCGCTCGGCACTAGAAGTGATAGTCACGGGTCTTTCGGATATGACCTTAAAAACGTAGGTCCCGTGTAACGGTAGGCGTTGGCACTTTAAAGAAACCTCAATGCTTAATGGCTCTGAGTGCTGTGTGGCAATGCACTTAGAAAATAATTGGGACAAAATCAACGCACTTTGGAAAAATTTTTCAAAGTGCGTTAAATTTGGGACACACTCAACGCACTTTGAAAATGTTTTCAAAGTGCGTTAAGAGTGTACCTAAACATTTTAACCATGGGGACATTTAACGCACTTTGAAAAAATATGTATAAAACATTCTAGACTTAGATTTTAGTAATTAAGAGAATCAATTTATAATGATTATATCTTCTGAAAAACTTTTTAATTTACATATACTCATTAAACCCCATTGAGAACAAGGAGAACAAAAGTAGGTCTCTCAGCCCAACTCTTTTTTTTTTCTTATACATTGTACGTAGCCGTCGGTAGCAAATTGAAAGTGGACTCCATCCCCCAAGGTAAGTTCCTATTTTCAATGCCTATATGAAGAAGGATATGGAGATAACGAACAGTATTCAATCTCAACGTCCATTAAACAATATACAAAATAAGAGCAGAGCAAACACGGACCTCTGAATCATCAGAGGTGGGATCAGGTGCCATGGAGGAGTCAGCATCCCCTGTCGACCGGTCAAACCCGCCGTGTGCTCGTTGTCATGATCAGGAAATAACGGAAAAAATCCGTCGTCAATTCAGTGTATAAATAATGGACTAACAATTGGTATGAAAAACGTCAGTCAGCATATGACTCAATGATAAATTGTATTTGCTGACAAGGTCATTGTATCGACCATAGAATTTACGAAATGATGACATTAAACGAGACTGTTGATATTCTTGTTTCATCAACTTGCTTGTCAATAATTTACCTCGTTTAAGAAATTGTTCATACGTAGAGCACGCTCTTGCGTATCGAATCAACTGAGATAAATATACTCCGTATGCAGGTGATGAAGGTATATTGCTGCATAAGTAAGGGAAGTTGACGATAGATAACTTAAAGTCATCACGTTTATCATATAGCTTGGTTGTTAGATTACCATTAGTGTCTTTTTCAAGTAAAATATCCAAGTATGAAGCAGAAGTGTCGGACTCTGTGGTATCTTTTATCTTAAGTTCACCAGGATACATCGTATCGACGTAGGAATGGAAATTATCACTATTAATTGACAATACGTCGTCGATATATCTAAATGTCGAGTTGAAGGTCACAGCAAGTGTTTTCTTCTTTTCACGCATAAGATTTTGTATAAATTCTGCTTCATATGAATATAAAAATAAGTCTGCTAATAACGGAGCGCAATCGGTACCTAAAGGAATTCCAATAGATTGTTGGAAGTCCAGATCTCCGAAAACCACATAGATATTGTCAATCAGGAATGAAGCATCTTTTGATGTCATCTTCAGAGTACTTATGTGTGCAATCAGAATCTGTTTTAACAAAATAATTTTTCAAATGACCAATGACGAGGTAAGTAAATTTACGAGTTCCATTTTTGTTGAAGAAGCAGCTGTCAATGATATCAAAAAGCCTGGATTTTAATTTGTCGTGGGGAATCGTTGTGTATAAAGTTGAAAAGTCGTAAATTTTTAAGCTGTTGATTTTAGTGAAGTCTTGTGATTTCAAATTGTCCAAAAGTTCTTTAGAATTTTTAAGTATCCACATCTGATTTACACCACTTCTTGAGTATATAGTTGCACAGTACTCGAAGTTTTTCCTTCACTACTGTCAATATTTTAGTGAGAAGTAACGAAAGAGGCTTGGTTGAACATTTACTGGAACCTGCAATGTATCTTTGTTTGTAAGGATTCTTATGAAGTTTCGGAATCCAATATATATAAGGTAGTTCAAATTCATTTTGGCTCTGTGGAATACTAAAAGTATTCAAAACTGACAGGTGATTTTGAAGAATTTCTTCCTTAGAAAGAGAAGTATGAGTATAAGTAGGATTACCACTTGTAGAATTAAATCCAAGTTCTTCTAGAATGCAATTTATATAATGAGCCTTACAAACGAAGACAATGTTGTTACCTGCTTTGTCGGCAGGAACCAGTACGTACTGATCGTGTAATCTATCCAATTCTTTTTCACTTCTGGTTTATTGAACACAGAAGGATAGATGGTTTTCATATATTCATTTATGTTTATATTATGTATATCTTTGCAAAACATGTGTGTGCCTAAGCCCCCTCCCGGTAATGATGCCTATGCTAAACCCAAATATACGTATTTACATAACTTGTATGACATTTAAAACTTTCAATAAGTTTTAGCTTACATAAAATCCACGCAAACTGAATAAAAATTAAATACAGTAAAATATTTAAGAGAGAAAGAATTTTAAAGTATGAAAATATCAAAATCGCTCACTTTCATATCCGTAAGTGACCTCATCACCGAAGAGTTATCAAACAGGTTCAATTATTTATCATACCTAAGAATTGCAAGAATATTAGCCAAGCTATACACATTTTTTTTTCAAAGTGCGTTAATATGGTCGATCTTAACGCATTTTGAAAAGAAATTTAATTTTTTCAAAGTGCGTTGATTTCGTCCCAAATGTAACGCACTTTGAAAATATTTTTCAAAGTGCGTAATTTTTCAAAGTGCGTTGTAACAATACTGAGCATAGGTCTAAATTTGAAGCCCTTCACCGGCATACGGTGACGTTCTCCATATGAGTGAAAAATTCTCGAGTGGAACATTAAACAATATACAATCAATCAGTCAATCAATGAAATTCTGTAAACAAACCAAAATATCTCTTAAAGGCAAAAGAAAAAACTGCCCAATTATTGCTGTCTTTGCATTTAATAATTTTTTCATACTAATTGTTAGTCCATTGTTTATACACCCGTTACTTCCTGATCATGAAAAGGAGCACATGGCGGGTGTGACCGGTCAGCAGGGGATGCTCACTCCTCTATTCACCTGATCCGACCTCTGATGTTTTGGAGGTCAGTATTTTATATTGTTTATGGACTTTGAGATTGAATACTGTTTTTTATCTCCATATCCTTCTTCAAGCTCTAATTGAAGACATATTCAGTTCAATAATTACGCCTATTAACATTTTTTTTTTAATTTTTGATGAAAACATTTTTCAGCCATTACTTTGCACCATAAGTCTGCGGTTGAAAATATTTGCGAATTCTATTCATTCATTATACTAAATGACATTTTATTATTATCAAAATTCACAATCTGCTTTTTCCAAGTCCTGTTCATTTTACGTACATTGCTCACATTAGTCTGAGCAAATTGGCAACTGGTTTATTTGGCGTTCCTTCTTAAATGTCCTTTCCGTAGAGGATTTTTGTCTTATATTAATTAACCTCGGATTTACAACTTTCATTAATAATTAAGGGTGGCTATCACATCAAGGTTATATGAAAATCAAATAAATACAAAAATTTTTTTTAGCAGGTATAGATTATTGATATCAATTATATAAAAAAAAGAAGTTTGTTTATTGACATTTATTTGGGGAAAGCCGGTAGAAAAATGAACTTATAATACATTACTTTACTAAATAAATTTAATAAACGAGTTAACCTTCATTATACAGATTTTGTCAAATAATTACAGACCTCTTTCACAGTTGCGCCCAGAATATCCAGGTTTGCAGATGCACTGGTACCCTTTGCTGGTATCCCTACAACTTCCACCATTACGACATCTTGTTTCTCTGCATGGAACAACTACAATTATGGTATATTTCTATTGGTTTCAGCTGGAATCCTTGAAAACTAAAAACTACAACTAATTACCCAATCAAATCAAGCTAAATCGCTAAAAGAACATTCAATATATATATGGATCTCATATGATTTGTAGTTGGATATGATTTTTATCCAACGAGTTGTGTGGTTTTTATCCCCGAGCCTTGGCTAGGGGATTAAACACAACGCACAAATGTGTGATACGAAAACGATATCACATGAGCTATATTAACTTAACAGGATAAAGGGTTAAACGTGGGATAAAAACTTCTATCATTAATGCTACTATTAATATCAATAATAAAATAATATAGAATGAGAAAAGATATTTTTCGTTTGTTTTTAAATTAAAAAATTTTAAATGTTTAATGCATAAAACTTTAATATTTTGAATTAGCTTTTGTATATTCTACAAGTTTTTGAAACGCAATTTCCTTTGGAATTAAGAGTTATTCAGTAATATTTTAACAGATAGTAGCTTAAATTTACTTTATCATTATGAATATTCTATTATTTCTACCAAAGTGCTTTTAATATTGCTTCAATTTTTTTCTAAATAAATGTTATTTACAAGCAAGTTTTAAAAGCCTTTGGTACGATCAACTCGATTCAATAAAATGCTTTGGTGAAGAAAAAAATCTTGCCTAATGTAAAAGGATATATTATGGAATGTTAAATACGTTTGTTTAATCATTCTTAATCCTCCAACTCTGAGTAGGGTGGGTTAAAAGATCAACGTGACGACTCCTCGGATACCAGGTGTGTACGGGGGAAGCCTACAGTTTGTTAGGTCTATTTAACTCAGGTGCTGTTAAATCAACTTCCTAATCACATTTGACAGGTAGCTTATTTATCTCAACTGCCCTCTCTATAAACGATATCAATATTATTTAATTTTAGCGTTTATTTGATTTAC